ATTGTTAATAAATTATGTTAAAAATGCATATAATATAATGTTTGTGTAAAATGTGTTAATTTTAATTTTAATATAGTGATATAGAGTCGATATGATTGGGAAACGTGTCTATTATTTTCCGTAATAACAGTTTCCCATTATTTGTAAGTATTTCATTCGGTCTATTTCGCCAGATCTATATTTTGTCCATAATCTTATGCGACATATACCTACTTACACCAAATGAATTGTAACGCATTGCTGCAACGTCGTGCACCTATTTTGGGAATACAAATAGTGGGCACTTAAAACTACAATGAATACCTGAGAGCGGGCCTAACAGTGGTTCATTACAGGGACATCCGATTCATCCGAATATTGTTAATACTGAAGATAAGACTAATAAATATTTTGTATATAAAAAAAAAACACATCGTCCGGCAAAACTTCGGAAACGAGCGCTCCTAGCTTACAACAACGTAAGACAAGGAAAATCAAATAGGTATACATGTTCATTTCGATATTACGATAATGAAAACCAATACTCAACAACCAATTACAAAATTATTAACTACAATGCCTATATTATATTCACAACATATTCGGATGTATGGTAACGTTCTAAAATTAAGCGCATCGGTGAATGGTAGCTGCGACATACAATTCGACTCGATGGATAAAAGGTTTATTATAATTCTATTACAGGCACCTCGGGCATTCATGCACAGGTAGTAATTAACTTAAAATACCGGAAAAACACCGCCGCACCATCGGAGACGGATACTGGACCGTACATTGATGATCGCAGTGTCGCAATCCAATGTCGTCCATCGACCACCCGGCATCATGAACTCGACAGACAGCGACACGTCTACGCAGACTCGATGACAATACCTCCGGGACGTAACAATGAAAATCGACACATAGACTTCATCGTTGTTCAACCAATTACACTTGACTTTATTCCTGAAAAAAAATGTGCGGACAGTACATGGGGTTTGTATAGGTGTGTGGACAAACTGTCTCAAAAAAAATCATCATAATGCGTATAATATGTGCATACGACATAATAACGTATTGCATAATATGTATCCGTACACTACAGTCTGGCTCGTAAGCATTCATATCAGACCGGTATATTGCCAATTGCCAATGGCCGGCATATAACGTAGGTAATTATAACAGCGACGCATAATAAATATTGGAATGATAAAGTCTTGGAGCCGTAACAATATCGACTATTATAGTAATGTTGTTATTGTTGTTATATTAGGTATCGTATCATCTTGCCTATTATAATGATATTAAGGGGGCTGGAGCGTAGTCCATTCTAAGGAGTGAAAACTAGGCAATTTATATTGCAGTGCATATGGGTCCATGTCAATGTGTTGGAAGTAAATGAACATTAGTGTGTGTAATTCGTAATTGTGTACTCTCCGAACTCACTATCCGTTCAAAAACTGGTTTAACATAATAGCCATTGTCATTAGACATGCTGCAATTCACCGAATTTACAATAACTATTACCTAATTACGATAACATAATAATAATATTATTGTACTTAATTAAATGGTAATAAATAATAGATAATAATTCATAGTAAATGGTTTTTTTTAATTACTGCACTACATAGGTATACTTAATTTCGACCACCTTGAACTTCAAATAATTGTAAAAAAAAAACTGTTTTTATATATTTTTTAAATTTGTTGGTTACAGTATGAACTACTTACGTAGAATCATTTTTAAATATATTTTTTCCTTAGCTAAAAAAATTGAACATTTTTAACTGCGAAATAATTTGTAAACTTTCAGTATGATAAATTGCTCAAAAGGATCAAAATATTTTGAAAGTTATACCATATATTATAAAATAAAAATATAAATATAAAAATATATAAAAATATCAATACATCGAGTGTCTAGACAAACATTTTTAAACAGGTATACCTGTATAATGTAAAATATAATTTTATTGAATAATCATAATGAATATTATAATACCACGGAAATAAAACCTATTACCTATACCTTTATATAATATATTATTCTGTACATAACATTACAATAGGTACTAATAAATAATAATCATTAAATAATTGTGTGTGAATCCCCGAATAATACCGATTACGTTGTATAGGGGCATCATAGTGACCGGATATGTACGGCTGTGATTTTACCTACGCGCATGCACATGTCAACAACATATTGGCTTATAAAATTAATAACATTTTTTTTTTCAAAAAATACGGCCAATGACTTCAATCACTACGCTTAGTAGAATGTTCCGATTTAAATTTAGAAAGCAGATTTGAATTCTCCTCTAAATTTACTATGCTTTGACTGTCGTACATTTTTCATATTCAATATCAATGGATTTAAATTTGAATTATAAAAATGATCAATTTTTACTCTTTTTGTTAGTAAATTCCTAAGTAAAAAAAAATAAAAATCAGAAAAATAAAATTGTCAAAGCATAGATAATTTAGTGACGAATTCAAATCTGCTTTCAAAATTAAAATCAAAACATTATATTGGGCGTAGTGATTGAAGTCGTGAGCTATGTTTTTGACCGAAAATGAATCACGCTCCAGCCCCCTTAACACGGTCCGTCACGCCGCCGCGCGCTATCAGACTTCGCGTTCACACCTCTTAATTGACCAGTTACATCATAATTGCCCATCAACGTTCCGACAATGATACTGTGCGGTCGCGGCTCATTACATAACACAATAATTGTTATCCCTATACAGGTATTTATACTCAGCGACGTATTTCCTATCACACGTAATATTGTAGACGATACTCGCGACAAATGTCTAAACTAAGAAACGAATTGACGGTCAAGAAAATTCGGAATTTATCCTGGCAAGGTCGCCACTCTGTAACGCTTTGGTTACTGACGCCCGGCAATATATTGTAGGTCGCCAACCTATGACCCGTAAAACACCGTACTGGTGAAGGAGGCCGTAGGATTTTTAAAAAAAATCGGGTAAAACAATAAAACAAAGCAAACGTTGAGTTAATCAACTGGGGAAATTTATTTAAGTTTTTAGTGGAGAAAGCTCACTGGCGTAAAACTCCAACAACAGAAAATTAACAAAAAAATAATAATAATTTCGACGGGAGTCTTCGTCACCCCGTGATATACACACACCACATTACCAATGTATAAATATACAGATAATAACAATTGACAGTAAGAATAATAATAATAATCATCATAATAATAATACCATATTCACCTATTGTGAAAATACGAATAAAACACAAAGGGGCCGGCCAAGGCATACAACTAAACATATAAATAATACATATTACCCAATGGAGGTCTACGCGTCTCCGCAGTGTTTCCCCTTAGATCTTGTGATCTAAGGGGTCGGTGATGCTCACCGCGGGAGGGATTTCTGGGTGTATCACTCCATGGTGAACTTTTAATGTTTATTAAGAAAAATGAAATACACCATAAAATATTATAATATATACGGTAATGGCAAACAAATTTAGCCGGCGTACAGTGCAGTAGCGTATCCAGAATTTTTTTTTTTAGGAGGGGTTATAATTTATTTTTGTGGAATTTTATCTTAAAATGATTTATTAATGATAACGTTGTTATAATTTAACAATTTTCGGGGGGGGGGGGGTACAACCCCCCCCCTGGATACTGCAACGAGTGATGGGCCACGATGTAGGTAGGTGTGTATAATATATTATATACATTGCCAACCATGCTAACCCGCTTTTTTTACTTTAAATTAATTTTAATTAATTGATTTCATATCAATCCATCCGCGTTTTAATTTTGTGAAGATTTTCCAAGTATCACGCATCTAATTTACATTTTTCTAGAGTACCTTTTATGGCTGTTATTCGCTTAGAAAAAACATTTTAATGACCTAGAAACTACTCGCTCGAATTATGAATTAGAACATAAAAAGGTTCAAAAAAATATCTACTATAGTTGATTTACATTAAAAAAGTGTCGTACATAATTTTGTACTGCCACTGAACTACCATAAATCTGGATAAATTAAAAATATAGTCTTGAAATAAGTACCTACCTTAAAAATTCTAATAAAATAAATTTTGAATAACATCAGAAAATTATTGAAAAATAAAATGCAGGGGTGTGAACATACTTGGCATGCTCTCTGTCATAATATTCTATCAGCTACCTAACAATTTTCGTTTTCTTCACAATTTTTGTATTTTTTTTTACCACCCTCCTCCTACCATCACTCTCTAACACCATCCGTAATATTCAGGCGCGGATACAAGGGGGGGGGGGGGCTATGGGGGCTGAAGCCCCCCCCTTAGACTAGGACTTCGGTACTTAAGATATTTCAAAAAATAAGAAAGACTTCGTACAAAATCCCGGGACAGGACGCGGATACATTTATTTTCTGATGTGTAGGTACGCGACGACTTTCGAGAAAATCGCGGGTCGGACGGAGGCACGTCCTTGGAGGCCAATGACGATCGGTGCGTTCGGTGAAATGGAAGAGCAAAAAGGTAGAAGGGGCGCCACAGCTGACGACGGCTGGCGCGTTGATACCGCGGTGACGGTGAACAATAAAAATATCGGTATTTGATGTTGTGGGTCGCCAATGTGTTATCAATGTTATCATTACTTGTGATTACACACTTTTGAATAATGATAATTTAACAACATTTGAATAATTATTTCTAAACTTAAAATTTTACATCTTAAACTTAATAATTAATAGTTTATACTTAATACCATGAGTGAGAAAAAAAAAGGTGGAACATTGTTTTCATTTTTCAATAAGAGAACTAAAAATGATGCTAGTGATGATAATATAGTAGTCGATAAAGATATTCTAGATGATCCTGATCCTGAAACACCAGATGTTAATGTTATTAAGAATTCAGCAAAAGTAAGTGCTTCTTTCTTTTACTCAATTTAATAATTCAATTTAACTTAATGCTTATTGCTTATGTAAATATTTATTATTTTATTTAATACTTATAGTTGAAAAAAAATGTAACTGAGCATAATATGAATGCATATGATGTTGGATTATGTGTTGATAAAGAACTTACTGATGAGGAAAAATTTAATTTTTGTAAAAATGCATGGAGTCCCGTGGCAGGTTATAAGTTTCCAGTTATAAAACAAGGAAATCAAAACCGAAGCTTTCAATTAGATTGGTTGAGGCGCTATCACTGGTTGGCTTATAGTGAACTAAAAGAAGGTGGCTTTTGCAAATGTTGTGTGCTTTTTGCCCCAATAGGTGGTGGTAGAGGATGTCAGGTAATTATATAGTACATGTTTCAACACAGTACAGAAAAAATGCAAATTAACATAATAATATAATACTAAAATCATTATCTACCTCTCAATTTATTTTATTTTTATCTCCAGGTTTTAAAGATGTTTGTTAAAGAACCTTTTAATAATTATAAAAAAGCACCTGAACTTTTGAAACATCATGCAACAACTCAATATCATTTATTAGCTTCTGAAAAGAGTTCTGCGTTTATACAAAATTATAAAACCGGTGGATCAGTTGAAGTAATGCTCAGTAACAAAGTATCATCAATCATGGAAAATAATAGAAAACGACTTGTACCAATAATAAAAACTATTATTTTTTGTGGACATAATAATCTTCCGTTAAGAGGTCATAGAGATGATGGTTTATTGGATATTGATTCAGCCTTAGTAGGAAATCAAGGCATTTTTAGAAGTCTTTTAGCATTCAGAATTGATTCAGGAGATAAAGAGCTAATCACATAAACAGCTGTAAAAAAAATGCAACTATGATTAGTAAAACTATTCAAAATGAAATAATTGACATTTTGTATAAAGTCATTATTGAGAAAATTATAATCAATGTAACAAAAAACAAGTACTTTTCTATATTATGTGATGAAACTACAGATATCAGCACAAAAGAACAAATGACTTTTTCAGTCAGGTACAATATACAAATTCATATAAATACAAAATATCATATAAATATCAATTTATTTTAGATACGTTGACATGGAGGAGATTGAAATCAAAGAAGAGTTCCTTGGATTTATTGAGTTAGGTTCGACAACTGGATCTGCTATAAGAGATACTATAATCAAACAAATTGAGTGCTATAAATTAAGCTTAAAGAATCTTCGTGGCCAAGGATACGATGGTGGCTCAAATATGTCTGGTAGAAAAAATGGTGTACAGGCACTTATTTTAGAAGATCAGCCTTTGGCAGTATATACCCATTGTTTCAATCACCAATTGAATTTATGTATTTCCAAAGCATGCGAAGTACAAGCTATTAGAAATTTGGTTGGTATTATTGGCACTGTATCTGTTTTTTTATCTACATCTGCCAAAAGAACAAATATTATGTTGGACATTATTTCAAAAGATGATTCAATACCAGCCCCCTCAAAAACAAAACTTAAAGCCTTGTGTGCTACCCGGTGGGTTGAACGACATGATTCTATTCTAACTTTCCGAGAACTTTATTCATATATTATTTTAACTTTAGAAGAACTGGAAAAGATGCCTGACTCTGAGACTGCATGTAAATCAATTGGTTTCAGTGCAAGTATTAAACGAAGTGAATTTTTAATATCTTTAGAAATTGTAGCTAACTTATTTTCTCATACAAAAACGTTAAGCTTAGTACTACAAAGCCCTAAATTGGAGTTATCTAAAGCTTTTTCTCATGTTAAGAATGTAATTGATGTTATGGATGATATTAGAGAAAATTCTGTATCCAAATTCGAAACATATTTTAAAAATGCTTCTGATATGGCAGCTCTTGTTGGTGAGGAAATCAGAATACCTCGTTTATGTGGACGTCAAACAACACGATGTAATATTCAAACGACTGATCCAATAGAATGGTATAGGATAACCATTTTTTTACCTTTTATTGATCATTTAATTTCCGAACTAAAATTAAGGTTCAATGAAAAGTTAAGTGAAGTAATGCCTTTAGAAGGATTGATTCCTACACATATTGATAAATATGATGAATCAAATATTATTAAAGCTGCGATGATATATAGTGAAGATTGGTCAGGTCAAAAATTGGATATACAATCAGAAATATCAATCTGGAAGAAAAAGTGGCACAATATTCAAACTATGAAACCCGATACGGTGATCGAAACATTAAAACACTGTGATGAATTTTTTCCTATCATTAAAACATTATTACATTTATTGGCTACCATACCAGTTACTACAGCTAGTGCAGAAAGAAGTTTCTCTTCATTAAGACGCCTAAAAAATTATTTGAGGTCAACCATGGGACAGGAGCGTTTAAACGGTTTAGCTATTTTAAACATTCATAAAAACATACCTATAAATATTGATGAAGTAATTAATATATTTTCAAGATCATCTAGAAGAATAAAAACGGAGGATTGGTCAATTTAATTTGTTATATTTATTAAATTTTGTTATTAATAATTATTAAATAATCTCTTATAATAAGCATATATAATGAATAAAAAACTTAAACTAAATGCCCATGCTTTTATATACTTTAAGTACATTTTTTTGTTAAGCCCCCCCCCTTTTTTCATTTCTAGATCCGCGCCTGGTAATATTAATGACGATACAACCATAATCATTAAATATAAACTATAATAATCGGCGAGCTCATTGGCATTTAGTATTTACCTATACAATATAATATAATAACGCACTCGTGCAATACGCACCCTCCTCATATATGTATAACAGTACAACAATAATATATAATATTATAAAGTTAGCTGCTAGTTGCTACCATCTCTCAGTATTGAGTTCAACTATTGTAATACGGGCCCTAAGGTGTCGGTTGCGAAGCGCACCGTCCCCGGTTCGAACTCAGCGACGGGCGGCATTTTTCTTCTGGCAGTCACGGTGTCCAGAGAGAGGCCGACATGGCGACATCCCTCACCTGGGCATGGCAGATATCTACGTGTGTGTTTGTTTTGGCAAAAAGAAAAATGCCACCCGTGGTGCGCCTCGCAACCGACGCCTTAGTCCGCTCGGCCACTAGCTCCGTGACCGTCCCCCATTAAACATTTATTTGGTACTTATTTTATTTTTTCAAGTGGTTATAAATGCAAATTACATTAAACACGTACTATGCATAAATCCAAAGTTTGACTTACTCCAATTTGGTCAGTTTTGAAAAAAAACTTTTTACACAAAAAATGTTTAAAAAAAATTACCCTACCCAAATCTTCAGGAAAAAACTTGGGTTGTAATTTAAAAAAAGTAAGTCGTATTGAGTCGTATGCGCGTACCGAGTGAGCTAAAAATTTGAAACTGGTCTGAATATATGTATTTAAGTGCTCCCTATCACTTCCAGAAAACCAAATTTCAATACAAGGTCACCCATTTGAGATATTCAGTGGTACCTAATATCGTGATCACACTGTATATATAAATATTTATATATATATATAGGTATATTCTTCTATAATACTATTATCTAACCTGGCCGTCAATATACAATAATATTACATACGTAGGTAGGTAGGTAGAACTTACTATTATTATATCGTATTATACGCTACACGAACATCATCGGACACACACAAATTTATATAATATAATAATAAAAATACATATTATAATATGTATAATATATCGTGATATACAGCTGGTAATACGCCGGAGAACTCGTCGGCTGATCTGTTTTTTAAGTGGGTTCTCGAGGAGTAAAAACTGCTTTATATATAAACGCCATGAATACAGGATGGTTGAAAAACCAACAGTTCACACTCCCCCCCCCTTATTATCCTTCAGTAAAGCATATTTATACGAAACTTGTTTTTTGGAAGTTCGTATGTACCTACCTATATTTTTTAACGAGATAATAGTGCTTTTTAATTATTGTGTAAGGCTTCGCGTCTTTTTTAAAAAATTTTAATCAATTTAAATTCGAACCTGCAGTTGTATACAGGCTCTAGAGTCTAGATTCTGAGTTATTAAACCTCATGTATTGTTTTGTAGCAACTACTAATAGGACATAATATAATATAGCCCTTAATAACGTGGTTTTACTTAAATATAAAATAGACATGCGTGTTATACATGTGATGTTTAGTGCTTTTTTCGCTATGGCAATTTTCTACGATAAAATGTCAGTATAGTACTATAGTAGGTATTACTGAAATTTTAAAATCACGATAACCGTCATATCTTTAATATTATATAGGTAGGTAGGTAGGTAGGTAATATTATATTATCGCGGACCAAGGGTGCCATTTGGAGAAAAATCGTGTTGTAACTAGCATCTAGGATAATATTTTTTATTAAATTGCATGCGGTTTAATGAAGCCCGCAGAGAGCAATTAATGGATAAAAATATAAAATAATAAAATTGGTAGGAAGTAGCAATATAGCTGGGGCGTCAACTTATATGAACAGGCTTGCACCCAATTGACTAACTTTTATACACACTCAAAATCTATATTTTATCATTTAAGTGTTGAGAAATAATAACTTTCTGTTAAAAGTTTAAAACCTAATAAAAACAATTTATGTAGGATACCTGTATTACAATAACTATTAATATAATATAGGTAAAACACTATTACTGTCGAGGGCGGGCATAATGTCACCCCCTTGAATCTACCAATGGTTATATTTATTATTTTTATTTTTATAGGATATTTAAACTATAAATATCTTATAGTTTGCGCTATAGTTGACTTCTATCGATAAATAGTATTCGTGGCGTTGAGGGTGAAATAAATTACAGAGCATCTCAAGGCAGTGTCTTAGGACCTATATATTATGCATTTTGTATATAAATAACATCTGTAACATAATATGTATTGATGGTCAAGTTATAACCTATGCAGATGACACCTGCCTTCTTTTTTCCGGAAACTCGTATGGGAATAAGACGTTCATCACAAAACGACTGTTGGTGTAAATACTATCTTTAAAGAACTGAGTAATAATAAACTGACTTTGAATATAAGGAAAAGTGTATTCGTTGCTTTCTCGATTTATAGTACGTATATATAACGCGTTCGGTGGTATTATTATTCTTTCTGTGATCACATTTTGGAGAAGTAAAAATGCTTCAATTTTCTACATCGGCATCTTTTCTGACAGGGAACTAGCGAAGTGAATATAGTTGTCAGTTGATACTCTGAGAGAGTCAAAAACAATAGTTTTCAAAAGCGTCTAGAAAAAAGATAATTAAGGAAAAACGGAGATTTTTACGCAAAACCAGTTTTTGACAAAATCGATTTTGATTTTTGGTGTAAGTACCTAACTCTAAAAAAATAACCGTAAATACGTGATGTCATGATTGATGGATTTCTTATATAATATGTGTAATGTCAATGTACTAATGTGTTATGTAATTATGTGCATCATGCTTATATTTGTATTGCTATAGTTTTCGTATATTTAAGTAGGTACTTCTTGTAAAATTGTTTTGAAATATTTTTAAATCTGAGGTACGAAAAGTGACCTTACAGAAGTCTATGATAATAAACAACGTACAGAACCAGTGCTTTCCGTCGACGTATGACGCGGGGGTCACCGACCAAATTTACGTTAGGTGACATGTCACGTCTGAGTTTCACTTATCTTATATAATATATCATGAAAATATAAAGGAGGTAAGGTAGCCGGTAGGTATCCATAGAAATATAGAATAATACAATGCAAGAAAGCGCGCGGCAAGCGAAAATGCGACATATCATTTACATATGTTACATCTAGGCATCTAGCCATCAGTCGTCCCGGCAAATATTATCTAAAAATTGATTCGATTT